GATGGGCTGACACAGACGCCTAGGCACGAGTGCCCTGGGCTACCATGTTGCTGTTAACACTGCTTCCGCAGTCTCTATTATTTCACACCCACAACAGTAATTCTCACCTGTGCTTACTCCGCCCATTTCACACCAATATACACACATTTTCTCGTACATGTTAACCACACATGAAAGACTTCTTGCGAACTGCTAATCGAAACGGTTTGAGTGCTTCTCACCTGCCTTCAGTTACATGTAATTTCATGAATGCGTTGTTTTCTACACAAATTGCTAATTTTTGACGTGAGGACACATCGTGAAGAGGGTTTAACGATCAGCATCCACATCCGTCATTCACCCACTGACTGCAAAGACATCGCAAGTAGTGTATTGCAATATAATTTCCAAAGAACAGCGCTATAGCAAGAACTTTTGGTTTTAAATTAATGGTATTATAATGCGAGCTACTATCCATTTGCTGGGGGTAATATTCTTGCATTACATCTCATGAGAAATAAATTTTTAAAAGCAGCTTAATTAGCACACCCCGCCAAATGTGAAGAAACTAATCACATTAAGTCAGACTTAACTCCCTGGAGTCATTAAAGACAGGACTTTGTTAATAATTAATAAAAAAATACGTGCAATTAATTAAGTGATTTTTACGATCCTGTAAGATAGACTCACACATATCATTAACTCCGTTAGTTTTGTTAGTGACTAATGTACTTGTAGTGAATCGTGCTGGATCTTATCGATTAACCCAATTGCCACACTGACCTCTTTTTCACAGCGCCACTCATGATAAACCGTCTTCTTAGGTGCGTGCACCTCTCCCACACATCAGACAATCATCCAGACTTGGTCGATCGAAAACACTCTATGCTTTCTCTGTGATCTTCTTGTCTCCACTGGTGTCTGATTGATGCAAACGAACCAAGTTCAACGCATACTTTTATCAAGAACAATCGTTCTGTTCAAAATTTCTGCATTTTCAATCCAGCCATTACTTTGGTAGTTGGTTGTTCATCTATGCTCATAGACATAGTCGAAGTTTCATTTAATCTGCTAAATTAAGTATGTCTGCAATTTCATTTCTCTGTATTGTACTCTAGTTACAAATTTCCCAGACAATTTTGGGCCTCGGAATCTATGTGCTTTTGCCGTTTTTGCTATATAAGTCCTTAATACGACTTCCGTTTGAAGAAAAACAGCCCCTTCATACACACACCCCCAGGGAATGCCTCGTCTTGGCAATTAATCATGAGTTTGTGCAATTGCATTTTGTTCTAATGTGTTTCACTATGTTATGGACTAAATTTTGCTGGAAAACATCAATGCTGCATTTGTTAGAAGCGTGGAAACGGCGGACATATTTATTGGCCTTGGTGGTTAAGGTACAAGCTTATAACTAACTTGATTCAGTAAATTAATGAAGTAAATTTTGCCAAACGAATTGGCCTTTTGTTTATTCAGGTGCTGTGAATTACTGCGCGAAGTTTAATTCCCTGTGCGTTTAGCTCATATCTAGTTTCGCAGGCTTGCACGTCAAAAGTTCACTTGACCATCGACATTGGCGCAAACGATTGTCCTGCTAATGTGCGCCAATTGACGGACGCTGATACTGAAATGGGGACAATCCAAACAGAACGGGCGTTGAGAGCCAAATTTTTTAATTCACTGATGCAACCAGAAAAAGCTTACTAATACTTATTTAAGTCGACCTTTCTACGTCATTGTTTCGACCTATTTAACCAATTGAAATGCGAATGTGACAACTAATGCGTTCGTTGAAACTTAATTATCGACTCCACCAATAGTGGTCGAATGAGATACTCACTTATTTTAGCCAATCACCACATCGAATTAGATGCACCTGGAGGTGCTATTGGCTGTGAATTTATGGTCATTTTAGAGCGATCTTATATTCAATGACACTTGCGACGATTCTGTGATTTTACGATGGCATCAGAAAATGTAAGCATTCGTAGGTGTCTGAGCACGCTATTTCTATGCGTTTTGAAGCTTCACATATTCATGGATTCCTAGTCGCTGAATTTTTGGTTTGATCGATGTAAAACCATCTCGCTATTTTTAGAATTTATTCACTATGGTTCCTTGTTTAGTCAACATAAGCTATTTAAAAAAGATGTGATCGGGTGCAAATGGTAAAGTATTATTAATTTTAATCAAATTACTGGAAGCAACAAAAATGTGAAACTTGAGCGATTTCTTTTCGCATAAAATACCAGAACTTAGTGGTGGAATCTGGATTCTTGATTTCACCCCGACTGATTTGATTGGACCATAGCAACTTTTTTTATTAAGCCAATAGGTATACTTAGCTCAACGAACTCACTCGAGGTGACAATTTAGAAGGGCAAAATAGCCCGTTTTGCTGCATAATGACAACCCAGATGCATAATATTTGCAACCAACTATGTTTCTGCTCTGCTGACGCAACAAGTCACCGTCGTGACTGGTGGATATCAACAAAAACGGTGACAGTTATGATGGCTGGGAACATGATACGCTTGATTGGTCCACGTGCCACCATAAATGCATCTCCAGCTAATGCGGAAATTTGCAAATTATTAAGCACTACATGGCTGCTTAATGCAAAATCGATGCAGGGTTTGCCTAGTCACACTAAGTTGAACTTTTTTTCAGCTGAACACATGTCCGCATTTTGCTTTGTTAATATGACGAATTGCCCAGCAGATTTAACAGTCTAGCTGTGTAAACATGACAGTTAAACAAATGTGATCACGGGAATAAAACGTGCGCAAGGAGAGGCTCTTGTGTTTCAGTGTTACTATGACCACCCAAGTTAGTCCAGAACAAATGTGATCTTTAGGTCACTACCAGTGGTTTGTTAGCACATTTTTAGTAGATGCGCTCGGCTATTATTGGTTGAATTTTTAGTGTGTAATCATTTTTCGGAACCACATCACCGTTGAGTGAGGTTTGGGACTTTGCCTGGAACAGAAGCTACGGCACCCAGGAGTTAACGTGATAGCAGGCGTATTAAAACAATTTTTTAACTTGGCGCGCGTGGGTATTTTGAAAGAATATCGTCCTACGTGACTTGTATTTAACACAACCAGCGTGGTTTTGAGTGCGCGAAACTCTTAATTCACAAGCTCAGATGAATTCAGTTAGAAAAACTTCGACATTTAGGTTACTTTTTTGCCATTAACCGACACAATGAATTCCGAACTGACAGAGCCTGGAAACTTCGACAACGAATACATGTTTCCGAAAACAATAAAGCTTACGACAATTAATAGTTTACGGCAAATGTATGCGCTTAACGCTATGGTTTAGTAAGCATCAACATCCTTGCATCCAATTCCTACGATGGTGGCATGCCGACTGCGAAAAACCATCAGCCCACTTTTCAGTGTTCCTGTTTAAAGCCAGGCTACGCCAATCCCTTAAGCTGAGGGGGAGAGCTGTAGTGATTCACGTCCATCAAGTCCAACGCCGCACACACCGCCGCCCTGTTAAACGCTTCCGGCAGACACTAGGAGCCATCTACTAACACATTCCTGTCCGGTTTTCACCCTCTACTCCTCGCGTTCCACTCATCTAGCCTATCAGTCGTTTGTACCCTAACTAGTTCACCCAAATCGCATTGGCGAACAACCTCATGAGTCACGCACGACTTTCAAAAAACCACGGCAATAACACGTCTAGGTCGGGACATCTAATAAACGGTAGTCGCCTGGCATCTCATCACTTCAATTGGGTACTTCGTGTTGTATCTTGCCACAACGCAATCACCAGATTAGCTGGAAGGTCGTTTGCGAGTGTGTATGGATGACGGGCTACGTTGATTGGCCGGTAATTGATGCAGAGAAGTGATCTAGGCCGGTTGACGGAACAACATTTCAGAGACTGAGGCGGGACAAACGGTAGACTTGACCAACCACGGAACGGTTGGGGTCCTATACGTTGTTGCGCGTCACAGAGGCGACTCCTTGGCCGAATGGTTTCTATTCAAGCACTGTAATAGACGCGCCTGTCGCAAAGTAGCCGTCTGCTAAGGTCTGGTGTGCGGAACGCCATCTTAGAAGGTTTGACGTGGCTGATAAATTGGTAGCGGAGGAAACTACGTTTGGTGAATGCGGTTGGGAGTGCTTAACAAGCGTCATTTGTGATAGACACAAGTTGGATGTCACCCCCACAAGGAAAGAAGGGTTACAGACGTAGATTGTACGTACAAGACGGGCAAATTCGACTACCTCCAAAGACATCTAGATTAGTAAATGAATGCACCTAGGTTTATCACAAAACCATATACTAAACCACGCCAAAACAAGGTGTACACCGTCCTTCGAACTGGCAATTATACTTCGAGACTACCAGTGCGCATCTTTTTCCAACCAAAGAGAGCTCAATTGTCCTCAAAAGTGCGCTGTTTCAGACAGCAAAAGATTCCTTTTTCTGGCATTGTCACAAGAATGGAAGCACGGACTACCTCAAACTGATAATCTTCTCAAAATTGCGCATTACTGAAACACATGACTTCGAAGCTTGCCAAAGTGAACGCGCGTTTTCCGTGCTGTTTCCGACTTCGGTTTGTGCACATGTGCCTGGGAATTACATTAACTTTGTCCAAAACTGCCACCTTCTGACAACGGCATGAAGCAATGGCTAGATGGGGTACTGTAATTGGTTGACTGCTGCGGTTTCGACCGGTACCAGCGCCCCGAGACTCCGTTACAAGAATCCGTTCACATGTCAGCGAAGTGCGCATCTGTGACTTACTACCTTGCATGTATCGACATACTTTTGAAATGACACATTGAAGACTAAGACGATCGCAGTACGTGGTGAGATTCCAGGGATCCAAACACCCCAGAAGTAGCAAACACGTCAAGGGAGGTGGCAAAACCGAAACTTCGAATCATCACCTGATTCCCAACACGTAAGCGGACGGATGGTCAAAGGCCTGACACACATGAGACACACACAGGTTATTTACTGATGAATAAAGGGGTTGAGGAACAGGGCTACGACGAGGCAGCGGACTTGGCAGCTGCGCCACGGCGGTGACGCACGCCATTGGTGGCCTCGGCGGCAGTTCCGGTGGATGCGGTGGGGGACTTCGCGTCTTCCGTCTTACTGCCACCTGAGGCCTTCTTCTTTTTCTTTTTCACTTCTTGTTCTTGTTCTTCTTTTTCTTCTTTCCCTTTGGCCTCCTCCTCCACCTCCTTCTTCTCCTCCTCCGCCTGCTTCTTTACTCCGCCATCCGCCATCATCTCCTGACTCACGCCGAACTCGTTCACGCGTTTGGGGTCGATGCGGTAGATCCAGCGTTGGTAGAGGTAGATAAAGAAGATGATATCTACAAGGGAGGAATTATACGATGACCGGTACCCAAATGCTTTTGTTTTGGCCTGCCAGTCGACAGGGCGCGGAAACAAAAAAACGCGTGAAACGAGGCAAAAACTTTCCCACAATTCCGTGATTGACAACCGAGTTTTACGTCGAATTCACATCGGAAGTAGCGTGAACAGATTGCCACGAAAGACAACACTAAAGTTACCATTGAGAGACGAGGCTTTAGAGATCAGCATGGAGAAGCGGCTCACACGATCAACTGCAAATGCGAAATCCGATCCCTGTGATGACTTAACCCCATTTGCGAACCAACACCAAAATCGCCCAAAACGCGTAGCCTCAAAGGACAAGGCAAAATTGCATTGTAGATTCTTGGCGTACAAGTACGAATGCGCCACTTTAGATACTGCAGAACCAATAAAAATGACCTTATTTTATCGAAAACGATCGCTTCCACGCTCTGGTTGTGGGCGAATCCTTGCATTCTGACCGCGCAGCGTGGAAATGTGGAGGAAGATGGGGAGGTTAGGTGTAGGGAGGTGAAATGGGGGCATTTTTAGGCAAACCAAGAGAAAGGGACACTTTGCTGGAGCATGTGGCGCCTCCTCGCCTCCCCTGGTAGTGGCGGCGGAAGTATAAAAGGTCGAACGTGTCCCGCAACGAGTTGCAGGACACACACACACACACGCAGAGAAAGCAAAAGTTTACATTCGAACAGTCGGCAGGATGTGGGAACTGACACAGAGGGTGACAGTTGTAGCGAATTTTTTGCTGAAAAAAACCCAACACATCACCCGTGCGTTGGTGTTTCAACGAAGAAACCGCACCTTGGACGGCAATCACAAGTGACTGCAAAAGAATTTGATGAAGAAATCATCAGCCAATGGAAATTGCGTTGTTAAAATATGCCAGAATGCCCTGCTGAGAAAAAAAAGTAATAAGGACAGCCTACCGCATGAAAAGGATCAGATGACGCCACGTTTAATCGGCCTGAAACAGGCAAATGTGTTCAAAATTAATGGGTTTCCGTGAGGTCACCCACACGCACAGCCATTCCTTTAATTAAAGGCCTAGAGATAAAAAACAAGACGTTCTGAGGGAAGATTACAGCTATTCGACATGGTTCAAATAGTTCCTACATTTACTGCACCTAGCCAGAGTTCAAAATTGTTCTTTTTGTCAATCGCCAAAGTGTCTAGCGGGTGACAGCTGGGTTGATTGATTGGGCAATCGGAAAACTGCCTGATTGGTCAAAAGATCGCGGCACATTTGAAACTGAGTTAAACACAAGAGGCTTTCGTCGGATGTGGTAGGTAATAATAGCACACTCTTCATCATCCCAACGTTTTTTAACAAGTTTTTTTTTGGAAAGTGAGCGGTTCCACGTCAAAGAACTAAGAAAACGGGAATGTGGAGGTCCAAGACGAGTACTGGTGGGGGGGCTTTCCAGTGGGCGACATTTGGTCTAGCGTTGCCGTGGTGAAAGATGCAGATGCCTTGCCAACAGACCGAGTTTGCTCGCAAAACACTTTTCTTCTGAGATGCCATCGCTCGACTCGTGACAACACTTCCACTGTCTGTGGCGATTCAGTAGATGTCATGGGTGCTGTGCTTTCGTTTCCAATTCAAGAAGGGCTTGTTCTACTGACGACTACGAAAAGACCACTTGGTTAGTTTCGTTCAGTGTCGAGGTGAAATCGAGTCATTTTTGGCGGGAAAACGCAATCGAATTGTCAACAATCCGTTGAGTTCAAATCCAGCGCAGCCTTGGCAGAAGGCTTATTGAAGTCACCACCGTGAAATCGACTAAGACATCTAGAATAGACCTTCTGGCAATTCCACGAAACACCAAGTCCCCTCTTCAAAGCATGCAGTGCAAAATCGGACAAAGCTAGTCATCCAACTATGGTGTTTTTATGAGTGAAAAAACAGTTGTTTGGGGCTGGAAATTAGAGGTTACCTGGACGGGTTTACGCGTGACAGGCTAATGGAAACAGGCGCTAAAAGGTTTAGCATTATTAGAAGACAATTTTACCCAAACGACAGCGGGTGAAAAACAAACCGTGGAGAAGAAGAGGGTAGATTGTTAGAGAGATCGTCCAATGATAGGCTTAACGCCATTTTCTAAGACACCTGGTTACGACTGGGTCGCAGGCAAGTAGATCGCTACGAGATGTACCAATCAAAATGAGGTGAGGAACAAAGAGCACAACTTTTGGCGATAGCAACAAGCCGACACCTCACACCGACAGCACTAGCGTCTTGAACTGCTGGTTTAAAAGGCGTGAGTCATGCTAGTCGGGTGAACAAGTCGTTTTTTGGGGTCAGATTAAATTGGCAAGCTGGCTTTTGGCTTACAGAAAGACCTAACACACACATACACAGCCCGCCATGTGCAGAAATGTGCAATCAGGAGGCTGGTGGCAGGAGTGTCCCAGGCCAGCTGTTGTTTTAGCTGCTTTGCCGTGCAAGGAGACAAGAGGGCCGATTCCTCATTTTGGGGAAATTTCGAAGCAGTACATGTTTACGCCACAAGGAACCAACGCACGCTTACTTGTCGGAGACAACTGACTCGGGATTTCCTCAGCCTTTCAAGGTTTTGAGGTGGCAAAGATTATGAATGGGTCAGGCGTGGATTACGACTTCTCTCGTTAAAATGTGGCCAAATCCGCGTTTTTACGACTGGGAAATGTTGCAAAGAGTAGCGTTATGTAGCGTAAGGCGTGTGCACGCCTACTGAACGAAAACCAAGCAGATGGGGTGGTGGTTTGCCCTGAAGGTACTTGCTACCAGTGACTCGTTAAATTTGCCAACTCACATGCGGGTTGCCAAGGAAAAGCCGAATTCATTTTGTTGCGCAATGGAATACGCGTTGTAGCGCTTCACAGATGGCGCAAACGTGATAATGCGATGGAATGCAACCTGAAAACTTGCAACAGGACTTCCGAAATAAGCGAACACCTGTTTTTTTTAAAAACAATTTGGTGGTGCAGTACTTTTGGTGCCAAATGGTGTACAAATCTTACGTTACCAATTCACAACTATACAGTTGGCGGTAAAGTTGATAATTAGCATGCAGACTCGATTTCGTTGGGAAATGGAACCAGACATGTTGGGGTCACCAATTTGTTGAGACGCCATATATCACTAACCGCCCAACAAAGCTGAAGTCGGTGGAAGGACAGAGAGTCAACCGTTTATTCGAGGACTTGACGAAGACGTGGTTCTATGTGGGGTTTGCGCGCATTTCTACCTCGGATGTGTGAGTCATACTTGCGCTAAAACCGAGACCTATGTGTGAGGATAATCCAAGACAAATATTCGTGTGAATGAAGGGGAATTGAGGATTCGCGCGGCTGGCGCCATGTTGCGAAAAGGGGAACCCTATGTGGGAGGCGGAGCGATCGGATAAGGAGAAAGAACCTGGTGGTAGGACGATTGCTTAAAAGGGCTTTGCACCAAGCGACGGCACACAAACTTTATAACTGGCAGTAAAGTCCAACGTTAACACACGCACACACACACACACGAGGACACAGTAGCAGCGTAGATAACCATTTTGCACCCCGGGTTTGCTGTTCTCGTGTAAAAAACAACACATGTATGCAAATCTCACCATCACGGAAGCACCCGATGCGGTAGAGGGTCGGCGTTTTGATGACGAAGGCGAAGAGGTCGTCGATGAAGGTGTTGAGGGCCTTGTACGTCAGCATGCGCCACGGCAGGTGAGCCACAGACTTGAGTTTGTAATTGATAAAGAGCTGCGGTGTCATAGCGATGAAGCCTGGAGTTGGGGAAAGACGTGAGTCAAGGCACTTCCGATTGGTTAGTTGAGGGATAAATTTGAGGTGAACAAACGCAGTGGGGAGGGTATTACGGCTGATTCAGAATTCGAGAATAAAGTTTACAAGTCGAAAGTTAAATGTTGTAGATTTCACAGCCAAAAGCGCATGTGACACGCCCCTATGAAAAGCACAATAAACGCAATTTTCCACCACCACACTGAATTGATGTAATAATGTCGGTTTATTGCACGATAGTGCACGAGGGGAAACAGGGTGAGAGACAGACGTGAGTACTAGAAATTTGTTTAAATCGGCACCTCGATTTTGACGAATTACGAATCAACCAATCACCAATTAGTTAAATGAAAGTGTTCATTTGAGCGTTGTACTGCGATATCGATCGATATCCGCATTCTTTTTAGTATAGAGAGTGCGACCTCGCAAAAGAACCAACAATAATTGGCAAAGCTTTACCAAATGTATGGAAGAAGCCACAGGGCATCGAAAGAATCCACGATTTTGACGAATTACGAGTTAAGCTATCACCAATCAGTTAAATTAAAGTGCTAAAACTGGCTACTTTAAGCGTTGTGCTGCAATATCGATCGATATTTGCATTCTTTTTAGTATGGAGAGTGCCACCTCGCACAAAAATGGACAATAATCGGCAAAAATTCTTACTAAATGTAAGGAAGAAGCCGTAGAGCATCGAGAGAACCCACGGGTACCAGCCACGATGCTCCTCGTAGACCAGCGAGTAGGCCGAATAGGCTATGAGCAGAGGGAACAACACCCAGGAAAGGTACTTGAAAGCCATCTACAACCAACAACGCGTTTGCTTTTACGCAACAAATGGCGGCAGTAAACGAACTACTTAAATAAAATCAGTAGAAACTCAACCTGATCGTAGGCCTTGGTGTCGGACTCGACGTAGCTGGATTGCCACTCGAAGACAAGGCGAGGCAACGCACCGAACCACTTGTTGTCTCGGTCCAGCTAGCAAATGAGAGCAAGATTGCAAGCACATGAGAAGCCTCGAAAGTGCCCTCACGTGATTCTCACGCGAAAACACCCCAAAAATGAGTGTGTGTGTGTGTTGTGAACCAAGATCACACCCCAAGTATATCCTGTGACGAATTTGAACCGCTACCAACAGTACTTTGTCCGCCTAGATTACAAACCGCACGCCTATATACAAGCCAAAGTTGAGTCACCAGTACGTGTGACTTGCCAAACGCACTACAGTTAACACACAGACAAACCACACGCATAAACGCAGGAAAACGTGGCCTGCAGAGTGTGATTCGGGCATGACAGCGAACGGAATCACACAAAACGCGCAAATCGCTCTGCGTTCGTGGAGGCGTGTGATTCTCTCGGACCTGGAAAAAAAGCGCGCCTTGGCAAGCGTGTGCGTGACATTTAGTGACGGTTAACTGTGACCTGGTTGGGGCTGTGTAGCCTCAATGTGTGACGATACGCAGCGATCTGAGACGGTTTTAATGAAGAAAAAACGCCATTACCGTCACCACACGTGTTCTGTGACTTAGGAACAATAAAACGGTGATTTAAGGCAAAAACTCACCCGGATTTTGAAGACTTTGTGGATCTTCCAGATTTCAATTGCCAGCCCTATGCAAACTGACACCTTGACGACAAAGTTGGTGTCATTCTCCAGGACGTAGAGCACCACGACAACTGACTGGACGATGTTGAAGAGCACCGAACGCAGCGACAGGCCCTCGAATGACTCGCGTGAGCGCCAGAATTGGATGTCTGCGAAAGGAAGCAGACAGTGAACGTTATTCTTGCAGAGGAAATAGCTGAAACGCTGGTTTTGGTGTGACAAGTCACGAAGCGTCGATGAAACAGTGAGCAAAGCCTACTAACGTGTAATCACTGAGGCGATGCGTTAGGTATAGGTGGGGTTTTGAGGTACTAGTTAGACTAATCGACCTTGAGGGCCCATGCATTGTTAACCGTTCACTTCAAAATGGCCAAAACGTGAAAAAGGTTAGTCGAAAAATCGATCGTAAGCAGTTCTCAATACGGATTGCGTGATTAAAAGCTAAATGGATTAAGGAAACAGACCTATCAACCAATGAGTAAGGCGTTATCGATCATTACAGAATGTCAAAAGATAGTGACAACGCACTAGTAGCGCCAACAAGAGCGCAGGGTGATTTAAATTGCAAAACCTCAATGAAAAACGTGCACGTAGGATAACTGAAAGCGAACGCGAGCCGATGGAATGGGCGAGTGACGATTGATGTAGAAGAAAAAACATGTGGGTCAATCCAAGTAGACAGCCTAATTTGCCTACACGACATCCGTTAATGCTTGAAACACCAAAACCTTACCGTGAATTTCCACGGATGCTTACTGAGCCGTTGGTTAGAAAAAAAACATCAAGTGATTGTACACCCACGTACAAATTCGACACTCAAAAGGGACTCAAAATCAAGCCGATACTCGTCACACATCCATTGGAGTGGTTGTGTCATGTAATACTCACAATGCCTGACATTATATAAGCCTTGAAAGAGTATCTAAAGTAAGTACCGACAAGTACGCCACGCAGCAAGGTAGTGTAATTTGAATCACCGGGAATCGTGAATTTAAAACGTCGAAATCGGCCACGTTGAATGTTAGCTTAATGCGAGTTGAATTGGCATAATCACGTAGGTGCGCGTGTCAACGCGATTTCACACATGAGAGCCTAACACGTGTTTGACATTAATCACGCCGGAATCTGATTACAATGGTGTGGCATTCGACGAACGACTCACACCATCAACCACGCTTGTACAAGGCGTCATGACATGAGAGGCGAGGCATAAACTTTGGCGCAGGTAGCAAAGATAGAAAGCCAAATATGCCATGGATCAAATGAGAAATAAGTGATCTGTGATGACCAAAAAGAAGACGGCAAAAAAATGCTCACCATTTTTGAAGGCTAGCATTTCGAAGACCGAGTGAATTATTGACACGATAATGGTGATCGCCAACAAGTAGGGATTTGTCTCCAAGAAGGTTTTCTGCAAAACAAAACCACGTGTAAAGCCAACAAGGAAAACCACACATATGGTACAGGGTAGACGCGTTAGGTGGGCTCAAAACGCCAGCCTACCTTCATGTTGTCCTGGTCTTCGTCGTCGTTGAATTTGTCATCGTCGCTTTCGCCAAGAATGTCAGGAAACCAGGATTTCCTGGCGCTCTGGGAGAGATAGAGCTGCCACTTGAAGAGCGACATTGGCGCGACCGTGAGACGAAACTGGAGTTCTGGCGTGGTTTCATTCACAGGCATGTATTCCTCGTTGAGGTTCCAAAAGTCATTTATGTACACGGCGGGGTAGTACTGGTTCGTCGGTTCATACCATTTAATGTCTTCAAAAAACACGCGAAAAATAGTAACGCACCACGTCAACTGGATAACTGGAGCCTATGCCAGGCTGACATTAAAGCACATATGCAATAGTGATGCATGCATTTACCATGACACAACGCTACTTACAATCACTAATGGGAGAGGGCACTGATCCGCGCACCCAAGGTGTGTGGTCATCAATAAGATTAACTGTGAGATTTGGGTGCCAGTGTGTGATTGGAGGGAGATATTTCACGTCGGCTGGGATGTCCTTCGGGGCAACTAAGTCGGCAGGTGCCTCTGTTTGTCCAGTAAGCAAGTTCATGGTGCGTGAAAGACGACGTCTACGCATTCGCGTAATCTCTAGAAGGTTAATCATCTTAGTTTAGGTACGCATAATTGGAGGGCGCAGGGTTGAATAAATGTCTTACGTTTTGTGGCAGAAAACGTATATTGCTTTGAATACTGGTCCTCTGATTCGGGATCGGGAGAAAACCCTGGCATTACGAAGTAGATATGTATGTACATTGAACCATTGTTCTTAAGGGTCTACAAGAAAAATAAAAATGACTTGCGGACTCCTACAGGCTGCTCTTTGATAGGACCGCTAGAGTTACCTCACTAGCCTTTATAATTGCGGTTTTTGTGTAGCTGCCATCATGTGCATCCCCGTCCTCCCAATTGCCGTACCGCAGACCTTGGAGATGCCAAAACAACGAGGAATCACTGAAGTTCGTCAACTGCGGCGTCTCAGTGAGGTACGCATACATATCCAGGAACTCGTTTTTCATTATTAAGTTGGAGCTTGGACCCACAGTGGCCCCGGGTTGTGTGGGAGTGGATGGCGCCGTGTTACGACGAAAGAGGTTGATAAAGAAATACGTAAAAATAAGACGGAAGATGAACGTCCTTGCCATTGCCCATTTGTTGAAACGGGGTTGAGAACCACCTTCGGCTGGGGCTTCACCACCAGCGTCTACCTGTTAAAAAAAGACTTACCAGAGTAAATATAAACAGGACAGATTATATTATGTTTTAACTCGATAGAGATGCGAGGCTAGCAATTAAAAGTCATCGCACAAAGAACCATAATCTCATCACAAAAAAAAATAAAAAAGGCACATTGTAAGTCCCAATTTAGTAATTAATATATATAAACGCAGAACGTCGCTTACATATTTAGCTCTGAGCCGAACTCAGACTGCGAACACTTAAAAAAGTATGATTTTACTTATCTTATACAGAATCTGAACAATACAGTGAACTTACGTTTGCAACCTCGCCTGCCATTACCGAAAACAAACACCAGACTGTTCCAAGTGGACAACTTTAGAGTCGGCGCGATTAGGGAAGAGGCTTAAAAGTTAACTTAAATAATTGTAATTAAGGCAATACTGGCTTTAACAAACCTAGAAGTAGACATAGCCGCTAAAAATAAATTGGTTTTGAAATTAAAAATAATTTTTTAGCTTTTTACGACGAAGAATCAGATATTGAGTTTGGCAAGTAATCTTCGCATGCCACTTCAGATAATTTTATGCGAAACAAACAATAGCACTCCTTGTTTCAGTAAGCTATTTAGCCTTTTTATCTAATGTTGGAACAACGGAACGTGAGGCAAAACGGTTATTGAATACAAGTTTAGAAAGGATGATCTGCCTGTGTCGCAATTCTCAGTGAAATCGCTCCAAAAATTGTCGCCGAACACATTATTACAGTTCAGTTGGTTTAAATTGAATTTTCTTTTCTTACATGCCTAATACACAGCCAAATTCTCCTGGGGTGCCAATCATTTACTCATCACCTGCACAGAACCTCAATTCCTGTGTGACGTTAATAAGAGGTCGCATCCGCTGTATTTTCTCTAATTTCGTGCCTTTTTAGGGACGGTTTACTGGATTTTTGTAAGGTAGTGTAGAGTATAAAGGCGTGATTACTTCAAATCGCCTAACAAAGAAATAATTTGAATCAGATTATTACCAACGTGATACAGTTAATATCGTTTGTTTTATGTCACTGATTCATTCCACAATGTAATCAGCATTTTTATCATTTTTTCCAGAAATGACCACTATGTTAGCTTTGAATATAGTAAGGTACTAACAAAATTTAACTATGATATCATGCAGGTTTAAGCATTTTTTTCGTCAGTCATCGGTGTTTAAATAAACAGTTAGGATTTAAATGTGGTTTACTATCTTTTGTCTTTACGATTTTTTCCGAAACTTCATTTATCACAGTTTTATGCTTTAAAAATAATAATAATAAATAACAGGCATCGATGTTTCAGATTTAGCGCAGAGTGACAGCCATTTCCATGGACCTGGTTGATGCAGTCCTAGAATGTGTCGGTAAATGGAAATGCACGGTGCATGCATACGTTCCTGTTATACAGTCACAAATTTGGAGTTTTTAGTCCTGTAGTTTAATTTTACACGCCCTGTAATTATTGTTAATTTACACAATCGCGCTCATACATTGACGTCTCTACCATTTCGCAAATCATTGCAAATGCGTCAGTTCCGCATTACTTCTATATTTGAACATTAAGGGCAGAGTTAAATAGCCTCTAGATTGCATTTTTAAAACAAAGAAAAGTATTTATATGCTGGCGTTAAATACACTGGAAAAAGAGACGTTAAACTGTCTATACATAAAAACTTAGAAGGGTTGATTAATCGCCTTATCTAACAATTTAATATTTTGCGCATTCTATTTAATTTACTTTGTTTTACACTTAACATATGACATGTTATATCTGGCCTATACATTTATTTTCAGCAAAAGATGTGTTGACTAGTTTTGGTTGTTTTGCTTTAGTTCTTCTAATTCCTATAAACGATCATCAGTTTTGCCTTATAACGACTTATGTTAAAGCAGCCTCTGCCGTCGACTCAAATATAGTTCACTCGACTTTTTGCATTAATATATACTATTTTATGATAGGATGGTGTATGGTATTGTTATTTAGCATATTGAAAGCTGCAGTGACCAAACTATCCAAACGTGTTATATTGTTTATAATGACAAATTGCTGAAATTTTCACGCAACCTTGAATTTTCTCAATTTTGAACGATTTTAATTTACGTATGGAAAATGGACATATTTTTCGTGAAGAGAAGCCAAAGGATGGTGTTTGGTCACCTGATATTGAGCAAAGTTTTTTTGAAGCATTAACAGTTTATCCTCCATGTGGTCGCCGAAAAATAATACTTTCCGAAGAGCGTAAAATGTTTGGTAGGTTCCTGTTTGCTGTTTGATTACCCGATGTTTTTAGTAAGAGCACTAGCTAGTATGTCATTTTAATGTATGGATGATGCAAACTGACAAAAAAAATGGCGTATTTTGTGCTTTAGGTTCGCTGTTTGCACAGTGTCCCATGAGATGGTGTCTGGCCACATTTTAAAACAAATATACGCAATTTTCTTCTCAGACATGGGCACAGAATGTTACACAGCATATTTAATTAATATGATTAATAGGCAAGCTGGGATTTTGGAGTCACTGTAAAGTTAAATCTAGGCACGATGCTTCCCGATGATGCTTCAATGTTTCTAATTAAGCGAATCCTTTTTTTAATTCTGAACTATAGATAAGCCGTCACGTTTTTGTTTTTTAATTAACTTGCGATATTTTACTTAACAACGCTAACATTCATCTGTTAATTAGGTTAATTTTGGTTTCTAAGGCAACTTTTCCGTTTTAATCACTTCGATTGACTTTACGCAAGAAACAAAAATAAGGCCTTATTGAAAGATTTAGCTATGAATTTTGTCGTATATAAATAGACAATCACGAGACAATTTGATGGTGGTTATGACTGAGTGGTCTATGCTCAATCACGAATTTCCCTTCAACTTGTAAGCAGTTATTTCCAGGCGTGACACTGAGTTGGATCAGTGAACACATTTGGTAAGTCGTTATAAGGAGTAGATAAATTTCTTTATATATTGATTTAAACTTCACAAATTGTCTTTTTTTACTGATTTTGAAACTCTGGTGGTTGTTCTTCAGTTGACTGAATCTTGCGTAATCATTATAGTGCGTCAATCCTAGACACAAGTGATTTTCTTTAAATAGATTCGCAACATACAGCTTTTAGGAATCAATATCGAGTTATTGAGATTAACGCTTAATTGATGTAACATTTTGTGTGCTAAATATATATTATTCCATTAAACTTACATACAGAGTGAATATGGTGTAAATATAGTGTCGAATGTATTAAATACAGCATTGGCATGAAATTTGGTTTAATGATCCTTTTAGATAATTTCGTGAAATTTGCCTTTTAACTGCGGAAAATTTCTCTGGAATCTACGTTAACCAGTTATCATGAATTATTGAATTCTCGTAAATCTGTCAAAGTTGCTTTTTGCTAAACGGCATTTTATTCAACTTTGTAAAAGGATACTTAGGCGTAAATTAGGTATATTCATCCAGGCGTTGCATTAATTTTTAGTAAATAAAAAACGTCTGCTAGAGTTTACCAGAATCGCTGATCAGTTTTGGTTGATTATCTGACTGGATTTTGTGAACAATCCGCATTTAAGTAGCAAACAGTCCAAATGTCGACTAGGCATGCCTCTATAATTTCATAGATCAGATTAGCAAATGCTTGGATTAAAATTATCACTAGGGCAAATCTAGTTCTCTCTTATTTCTATGCATGGTATGGCAGAGCAAACCTTAAAACCTTCATGCTTTGCCCATCTGCTACAAGGTCCCTGTTTCTGAGTGGATTAGTTGTGTGATTCATTTGGAGTTTTCGTTAGCCCATGAAGTGTAAATTCTTATCTGTTAATTGATGCTTAAAATGTGAAATTCTGGTTTAACTACGATTAAACACATCTAGTTTGATTTTTTTTTAAATAATGTACAAAACCTTTGCACAAAATTGAGTCAAACTCTTGGTCGCATTGGATTTATTTATTTGCTTTGGCTAAAATAACAGTGATGACATTTTTCATCGACCCCCTGGTGAAGACTTTGGAATTGTGGACAATCGAATGCCTACCACGTCACATAAATGGGTTATAAAGACTTGGCATGACTTGCCTCTAACAGCTGAATCGATACACCTGTACACGTGCAATACTTCGCTATTAAATTAGGTCCAATCCTGAAATATTGTTTAAAAGCAACCTCTCGGCATTCCTTTAACTACCACTATGTCCTGAATTTCTCGTGATTCATTAACTAAGTGGTAAGTTTGAGCACTCTGGATTGTTTCCATTTGAAACTACCACCCACAATGTTCAAATGATCGGTGCGCGATAGCAGTAGGTCCTTGATAAGTCAAGTATTCGTCGGTAGAACTGCTAGTAAACCTGCTTCTTGTGTCGATTTTTCCAGATGTTGTCGCTATACCTTTACAAATCAATAATAAAATGATGGAATGAAGCCATGATTAGACACACCATTCAGTATCCTTGCCATATTCAAGCTCATTCATTATCTTTCCTTCAGGCACTGTTCTCGGCGGCTTGAATTCCTTTAATAGTTGGGAAACACAAACGTTTGCAGAGTATTCGGAGAGCAAAAATTGGGTTGATTTGTTTAATTAAAGTACCAAACTTGTGTGCCAGTTTCAAGAGATGTGGTCGAAAAAGGGCTTTGAGAGAAATCAACACGTGTTAAGTGTTACAGCCGGGGAGGGGAGGTGGTGGTGCATTGGGCTTTGTAACCCACGATATTATGTAACAATGTTTGCGTGTGTTTGTACCGCCAAAAAAAATAAAATATATCAGTGTTTCAAGAAACTTGCCATTAAAAATTTCGATGTCTTTACTTCGGAAACAACCTATACTGCTTCTACTCGCGAAAATAATCAACCGTAGTTGGGGCTCGTCGTTGTCAACACATATTTTCGTTGCTGAAATTGGCAGTTATTGTTAATCCGTAACAACCCTAACCGCCATTTCGACACCAAGTCTTGCCGATACAGACGTCGAGGTTGGACAGTATTAAATTTGAACTATGATATCGCACAGGTTAGGGCGCTTATTCGTCAAAGTTATCAATGTTTAAGTGTTTTTGTGTAGTTTCTACTTTGTATTTCTTTGTTTAGTTTGCTGTAAAAGTCGAAAAAACTGGTGAAAAGATCATGATTTTGATTAGGCAATATGTTAAATTTTACACGCTTAAAAAAAACTACCAAAGGTGTGATTTTTAAACTTTAAAAACGGTTTTTAGTAAATGTGAGTTACAAAACAAGGCAATTAGTGTTTGTTATGATCTCAAATGTTGAACATTTGGTGAACCACCTAAAGCGCAACTTGAGCTGTAA